ACAGACAACCTCTCGTCAATATGCGTTTTTTGCATTGCATTACTGCAAAAAACGCATAAAAACAGGAAAAAAACTTAGGATGCAGACAGACACAATAAAAGCGCTTCTAAGCTGTTTTTGGGTCACAAGGGCCAGTGGGGCAATGGCAGTTTAACAAAAATTAACCACCGAAACAAATAAATGATTCGTAGAGGGATTGGTCACCCACCGACAGATTCAGTTTTCGGCCATCATCAAGGAGCAGCGTTATTGGTCATTCTCTGAAATTTTCGTGGCTTAGCGCTTATGATTTTTTTTTTAGCCATCCTATGAGCTTTGCGCGCAAGTGCTTTCCTCGCAACCGGGTGCTGTACTTTGTCGTGTCGATAGTGCTTGTGATATGATCGTTTCGTTACGAAGTCTGACAAATCGGGTTGAAACAGTGGTTGTTGGTATTGATGCGGATTCACGATTCTGGACAATAAACGAGAAGTACAAAGGTAGAGTTTTCAAACTTTTGCTAATGCACTCAGTCACTTTTTTACAGGCAGTTACTCGGCTCGGCCGCGCTTGAGAGACGTCCTTGTTTCTCTGCTCTTCGTAACGAAACGACACCAGTACTGTCTTGAGCATCCAGTTTAACCCTCGTTTTTGTTTAATTTATCCTCTTTCAGCTTCACCTAATTATTGACTGCATAAGTCGGGAAATTCCGTACTGACGACCGGTTTTACAAAGCACTCTCCACTCGCATAAGCTCATTTTTTTTGCTTTTGCTTTTTTTTTTTGCTTTTGTTACACAGGTTTCTTTTTTATGCGTTTTTTGCAGCTGTGCAATGCAAAAACGCACATTGTCGAGGGGTTTTCTGTGTGTGTGTGTGTCTGTGTGTTTATGTATGTGTGCATACGTGTGTGTGTATGTGTGTCTGTGTGTGTATCTGTAACGAGTTTTCATCTCGAGATGCACAAAAGCTACAAGGCTGAAAATTCGGTGACTTAATCTATACATGCGTGCGGGCTCGTATCCTCGAAATGGGCGCTCGGCTCCGCGTGGTTCTCACGTAGGGGTACGTGGAAGTTTTTTGGCGGGAAAGTGTTTTCGGGAACAACTCATGCTAGGAGGCTGCAACTTCACAGGGTTATTCCTTGGCCGCGCTTAATCCAAAGGTTTCAAATCCAGCCCTCACGCACCCTCGGGACTCACGCACGCACACGTCAAAGTTTAAACTGGCATCATGCCAATTCCAAATTTAAGGTGATCAATAAGCTGCA